CAAGGTAGATGGAGCCGTTCATCAAGCTTTGACTGAAAATTGGTTTTGTGGATAGTTTGCTGTCAACCAAAGGTTGTTCTGTAGTCTGACTGTGTATATGAATGCGTTTAGCTCTGTTTACTTTGTGTTACCACATTGTCAGGTCTCGGACGCGAGGGTTACAATGTTTCGACCTCCTCCTTACCTGATTTACGTCACGGTCCAGATGTCGGTTGGACTGTGTTTTGTCCTATGGATCACATTTTCACAGTTCTTTGTGCTAGTGAAATTGCTGCTGAATATGCAAATGCCAGCTATTGATAACAGTGGGCACCATTAACAATTGTCCACATTTGAAATTACAGGTGTATGAGATGTGATACACAATTTCGATAATTTATTGCTAGGAAAATAATATTTATGTAGCCGATATTCCTTTCTTCTTGTGTGTGTCGCATTTCTTGATGGATGTGGTTACTTTGTCCCTTCGCATATTTCATCTTTTCTTTCTTGGGATCGGATTCTATACTCTATCCCATTGCTTCATCTCTCACCTTAGTATATGCTAAGCTTCAAATCTTTAAGGGATTGTTCTCTTCGTGTTTTAGTTTTGAGTTTTGAATTCATTTTGAGCTTTATGTTTTGAGTGTCCATTTTGAGATTGTTGAAAATGCGTTCTTGTCATTTTGAAAAATTATTTTCAAAAATTAAAAAATGAAGTTTTGACTTAGTTTTAACTGAAAACAAAAGACATTTTTAGCGTTTTTCTTTTTCTTTGTCAATTTTAAACTCATTTTTGGAAATTCATTTATGAAAATAGGTAAGTGAATATGTTTTCAGTGTTTTTGAAAATTGAAAATGGCCCGAAAACAGCAAAAAACATGCCCTAAACTTTAGGCTTGTCTCAAACTTCAGCTTTTATTTGTTGTTTTGGCAAAAATGAACTGTACCTCAAGTTCTGATTTCTTTTTGGGGGACTTTGAAGTTTGAACTACACACAATAAAATCCCAGTTTTTATTTCTTGGAAAATACTGTAAAACCTCTCAATAGTCATTCAGTTGAAACTAAGTAATTTTATTACTATAGGATGTTAAGAGTTTAACGAGGATGTAGTCACAAAAATTCTTGTTTTGACTAAATTATCCTGAGGTAACATAATAATATTAAAATTATCAATCATAGAGCTTATCAAATTCAAGATATATCACTGTAAAATAAAAGAGGCAATGTTGATGCGGTCATGTGTCGCGATTTCCCATCGTCATCATAATTCAATTTTTTTTTTTGGTTTGGATGGAAGTACAAATGCACAACCTCTTCCACCATTCTCTCACGCAACCAGCCACTACTTCTCCATTTCGCCACGCAACCCGACTTTACTTTTCCTCTTCTTCTCTCTTTTGTATTTCTCTCTCCCACAACTCTCCCTGCTCTAATTTCTCCGCCACAGTGCGGCGGCTTAAGATGTACAACACTCGGCATTTGCAGTCCAAGGAGTTGCGGTCAACTCGGAATCAGCCGACTGCCGGTGGTTTGGTATGATATGTGTTGTTTTGTTTGATTAGTGTTATTTTTGGTTTCAATTTCAGCAAGAAATTTATTGGCAGTAGTTACCTTATCGGACACAGCGCCCCTGAATGATTCTGGAATACTACGCTTCATGATCATAAGACTCATGCGGTTTGAACAATCCCACTTATTAAAGTCCTTGTTTTCATCAACAGAACTTTTATCCG